CAGCTGAGGCAGCCGGGAGATCAGGTCCTCACTATTGATAAGGCCTGTTAGATGCAGACCATATGGTGTTTGAAAACCAAAGCATTATGTGAGAAAAATAAGGAAACTGGAGCTTCCCAGAAAGGAATTCCTTCCTTTACTCTCTGCAGCCCAGGTGGCAGACACAGGCTCTTGCTACAAACTGCTGTTGTTAGCTGTGGTTGAGTTGGTCCCTGACTCACAGCAACCCTGTGCACGATGGAGATTGGACCGTTGCGATCCATCAGGTTTTCATTGGCTGATTTTTTGGAAGTAGATTGCCAGGGCTTTCTTCCTAGTCTTGCTGTTTAAAATTATAGCAACATGCAGGCCTCCACTGACAGATGGGCGGTGGCTGAGTATGAGTTGCATTGGCCGGAAATCAAACCTGGGCCTCCCTCATGCAAGGCAAGAATTCTGCCCCTAAACCAGGCAAAATAAAACAAGCCTGCCTTTTTTGTGGACATGACAAAATGTGAATAGCCAGTGGAGATCAAGTGGACCAAGTCTTCCTCTTTTAGATTATTCATACTTGGTTACTGGGTTTAGCTCCCTACCCAGCCCCTTGTATTCAAGAAACTACACTGACATCAAACTGCTCATTTAAAGGTCAGCAAAGAAGGGAGCTTGAAAATATACTTCGGTACCATCTTCCCAGTGTCTAGCAGACCCTCCATTTCCAATCCACCTTGCTGTCAAGCCCTAGCTCAGTCTAATTTCTTCCTTTCTTGAATTCACAGGCAATGATTTATTCACTCTATCTATCCATCATCAAACTTTTCATCAAGCGCTGACTGTGTACCAGGGACAAGCTCTGGTGACATAAAGATACATATGCTGTCCTCAAAGAACTCGTTGTTTAGGATGAGGACAGATGGACAACTTGACAATCATAGTGTGGTGTGATCAGTACTGTGATACGTAGGGGGATGAGATGGAGAATGGGAAAGGAGAGGAAGAAAGGGTTCTACTGGAACGTGGAAGAGGAGTAGCTAGTTCATTATTGTTAAGTCAGGTAGGCTTTCTGGAATGGATAACACATGAGCTGTTTATTGAACAAGAAACAGGAGTTAGCCAGATAACGAAAAGGTGTTCCTCATAGCATGTCCCACATTGCTTGGAGCTCAGGATAATCGCAGTAAGCAGCCAGAGCTCCTTTGCTCTTCAGGGCAAACACCTCCTGATGGGCAGAGTATGACTCACAGATCCCAGGCTCTCACTTCAAGGGTGTCCTTTGGAGAAAGCGTGGTTTGGAATCCCCGTGGATTCTAAGGAATTAGGGGTCTTTTGGGGAGGAGTTCAGTTTGTATTCCCTATTGACTCGACGGCAACGGGTTTGGTTTTTTGGTTTTAGTTGTAAGCTAATGGACAATTCGTGTCTATGTAATAAGCAGGAAAGGCTCTTAATACAAAGGTGTCCCAGGATCTGGGTTCAGCCTCACCTTGTAGTGGTCACTTGGGAGGCTCCAGACGGAATCAGATCCTCCAGGTCAATCCCCAAGCAAACCTCTCCAGACCACTAGTGTGTGCATCACGAGCATCACATAGTCATCCTGAGCACCTCAGCTGGGCCTAAGGGACAACAGTCACCATCTGGATCATGGCCACTGGCATGCATAGGGACAACCAGTTGTATTAGTTCTACCAGAAGAACAGCAAGTTAGTATTTCCCAGGCAATCGTGATCGGCACCAGAAGATGCCTGAGTCATCTCTTCAAAAGATATTTATGAAATGTCTGCCGGTGCCCAGCATCTGGTTCATTTTCTTTTCTGTCTTATTTTTCAAGTGATCAAATATGGGGCTTATCTGTCCCTCTACCACATTCTACAGAAGTATTTCCCAGGCAGGATAATAGAATATAAAATATACAAAATATCACTAAGAACATGTGCTGTCTTTACATGTAAATAGACAAATGAGCTGATGTCAGGAGACCACATGGCTTGGCTTAGGGTTGGACCACAGTGGATGATCTCTAAGATCCCTTCTGGTTCTAACATTCTATCATCCTCACTCTTTTACCTGGTCTAAATCATCCTCACTCTTTTAGCTGGTCTAAATCATCCTCACTCTTTTACCTGGTCTGATTTAAGACCCACAACATGGTTTTTTGAGTTGGTTGACTAAGATGGACAGTTTTTCTTCATGCAAAGTAAGTGGCCCAAAGAGGGAACGAACAAAATACTCTGCTCACTCATTGTCCATCCTAACTATCTTAATCAGAACAGAGCAAAAATTACTCACCGAAAATAGAAATTTTATTCTAAGACTGCAGATGCACAATGCCAAACAACCAAATGAAAACTGGCCATTTCAATTAAAACCTCAAAATTTTCCTCACCTCCAGATACTCAGTGTCACAGAGAAGAAGTATATGGGTTTTGGACTTTGAGTAGAGCTGAGTCAACTACCAGTGCCTACAAACCATGTTGCCACCTCAGCTGTCTGACTGGAAAGACCCTGCTGATACTTCAGACGCTTTGGAAGTCCTAAAGCGAGCACTTACCGAACCAGCTGCCGTTAAGTAGATTCTGACTTGTGGTAAGTCCATGTGTTTCAGAGCAGAACTGTGCTCCACAGGGTTTTCAATGGCTACGATCTTTCAGAAGCAGATCATCAGGCATTTCTTCCAAGATGCCTCTGGGTGGACTCGAACCACCAACCTTTCAGTTACTAGCTGAGTGCTTAACCATTTGCACCACCCAGGGACTAGCATTCACTACTCCTTCCAGATGGATTATCCTAGCCAAGGACTTCCTTAAGTCGCTATAAAACCCATTGGTGGGAAAAGCTCCTGTTGGCAAGTTAGTAACAAAGATTTCACGTGGAGAATAAGTTTTCCCAAATGCTGTATGGTCCCAGCTACTTCTTTATAAAAGCTTTAAGTGATTATACTCTCTTCAATCACACCACCAAAGGTATACCTGGGCTATTTGTTACAATAGTTTAAAATTTACTGATCACCAGCTCTGCTCCTCAACATTCTGAAAAAATAACCAGATGCCATCGAGTCGATTCTGACTCATGATGACCCCGTGTGTGTCAGAGTAGAACTGTGCTCCATAGGGTTTTCAATGGCTGATTTTTCAGAAGTAGATCACCAGGCCTTTCTTCTGAGGTGCCTCTGGGTGGACTTTAGGTTAGCAGCTGAGCCTGAGTTCGTTAACTGTTTGTACCACCCAGGGTCTCCTATCAACATGCTAAATTCTGGGGAAATAAAAGCCAGAGTCCCAACTCCTGTCTCAGTGAACTTATAAACTAGTAAACTTACAGACATATAAACTTACAGACTATCCTGTTCCTCGGCCACTCTCTGGTTGCATGAACTGCCCCACGCCTGTTATGGAGCAACTCCGAGTAGCACAGACACTGGGAGAATCTGATATGAGGCACCACAGAATAAACTGAGGTGGTCTTGGGGTATTTGGACAGAGAGACTAACCCATTTGAGCAGAAGGGTGGCTATCATTTGCTCTTGACAAGTTCTAGAGGTTTGAGGCTGGCGTCTCTGGGAACTATTTAGCTGGAATAAATCAGTGGGGAGGATGGAGCTACTTCTATTTCAATACCCACAGCATCCCTGCTGGTGCCACACGTCAGGCTCTGCTGTCACAGGACATCCTCACTCAGCAGCTCATGCTGACCGTCATCTATTGATTCTGGACCAAGCCCCTGTCTAGGTCCGAAGATGAGTCTTCCTGCTTACTGGCAGAAATTGCTAGGAAATCACCTTTGAGAGAAATCTGCTTAACACTTCTATTTGGAAAGTTTCTTTATGGGATTGAAAATGTACACACACACACACACACACACACACACGCACACACACTTTTATGGTTTTTTTCTATCATTAATCAGCTGCAGGAGACCCCATTATTCTTCCGACTTGGCCACCAAATAAATCATTGTTACCACACTTCTTGGTGCTCTCGTTTGTCATTAGCAGAACTGCCCCATAGAGTTTCCAAGGCTGTAAATCTTTACAGAAGCAGACTGCCACATCTGTCTCCCAAGGAGCGCCCCGTGGGTTCAAACTGCCAACCTTTTGGTTAGCCCCTTCGGTAATCACTGTTACCACACTTCTTTGTGCTCTTGTCTGCCATTAGTCACCTGGGAGCTCAGCATGTTTTCCTCCTTCCCTTCCTTCATCCCTCCCTCTCTGTGAGGTTAAGAAAATAAAGATAATAACAGTGAAAATCTAGAGAGTCTTGATATGCTTCCTGCAAAGTGCTTCAGGAATAAAAGACATTGCAATTTTTGTTTTGTTTTGTTTTTTGTTTTTCCTATACCTGAAAAGTCCTTAAAGAGGGCTGCACTCTGGATTGATGCACATTGGACAAAATGCCACAAGGCAACCTGACCTGGGGAGATTATGGGGGTGGGGTGTGGGGAGGAGAGCAGAGGCGTTTCTCTACACTGACCTCCTAGTGGAAACATAAGTCCCTTGAAAGTCACCTCCTCCCCTTTCCCAGCACTTCTCACCGGGTTAAACATGCCCTGCAGCTGCCTGCAGTAAGTCGCTCCCTGGCACATCTCTGGCCTCAGTTTCTCCATGGGCTCCTAGGAGGGGGTGGCCAGACCACCTCCAGCTCTGACAGCCACGTGTCCCGGTGGCAGTTGATGTTATATTTATTACCCGTTAGTCATGAGGTGCTCCCATTGTCTATTCAGAGCCTTTCTGTGTAATTCTTGTTCACTTTCCCCTTCACTCTGCAAGCAAGACCTCTCCAAGAAACACAGCCCTTCTAGTCTCTCTCCTCCCCTGGCCACCTTGTCTCTCGAAAAACACTTCAGCCTATCCCAATGAAATGCAGATACAAAATAAATCTCCCCTTTGGAGTGGAGTCTAGCTGATCCTCTTTGCCTGAGTGATAAAGCCAAGCCCTTCATTAGACATTCCTTCATTACTCAGTATGCCTGAGAGTCTTTTAAGAGGGAGAAGAAGAGAAGGGCAGACAGAACATTGCGGAATTCCACCTACCTCCACTTCTTGCCTCCTTTCCTCTGAGAGACTTTCTCCTCAGCCCTGGGGCTCTTGCAGGATCTCAGCTCCAATCTCCCTGTGCAGCTCTGGCCTCCTTTAAATCTCAAGGCAGGGGGTGGGGTCGGGGGCCCTGGGTAGGCGGGTTTCTCTGCAGCGGGAGGATGCCCAGTGGACAGGCTGCAGTCAGGGAGGGGCGGGGCTGTTTTATAAAGATGAGGGAGAGGAAGTTCATGATGGAGGCGGCACAGCCAATCCTGGCTCTGGGCCAACCTGATTACTCATGGTCCTGACGTCATCAAATCAGGAATTTGGGAGTTGGATGGAACCTGAGAATCATCTTCCTTTAGAGTCCTAGTCTCCTAAGGCCTAAAAGTGACCTTCAGGATCAGCTGGTCCTAAGCCCCTACTGTGAAAGAAACCAAAAAAACTCATTGCTGTCGGGTTGATTCTCACTCATAGCAACCCTATAGGAAAGAGTAGAACTGCCCCAGAGGGTTTCCAACTGCCGACATCTGGTTAGCAGCTGTAGATCTTAACTATAAAAGAAGGGCTTACAATTCTAAACACTGTAAGGAGTCGGGGGCTTGCTTCTGGAATCCTTAACTGTTGTTTCGCCCTGTTTGGTCACAAGAGGTTGGAAGGGCTGCACAGGTGGGCTGGCTCCCACTTCAGGCAGAGGAAAATCCGTGGTCGGAGCTCTCAGTGGATGGAGAGGAGAGGAGAGGGCAGGGCTCACCTCCTGCTCACCTGCAGTGGAAAGTGGCCGAGACAAGAATCTGCTTCATCTGCTCCATATGCTTGAGTTTCAGCTTTGCCACTCCCTAGCTCTTGGGGAAAATCATTTCACTGCTCTGTAGGTGAAAGGCTAGACTAGGTGGTCTCTGAGGTTGCTTCAGCACTAGCATTGTCTGAGTGGGACTGTGTGGAATAGAGGCGAAGCCCTGAGCCAAGGCTCTGCCCTAAATTTTCTTTTCCCAACACTGCCTGAAATTCCATCACTGGGCAGCCATCCCTGTTGGAAGCTTTTCAGTGTTCTAGAGGTGGTTCTTAAATGTAAATACTCCTGGCAATAGACAACTTGCTTGGCTTGTTAACCAGTTAACACCTTCTCAGATGACTGACAAAGAAAAGCTGCAGGCGGTAAGTAAAAGCCTTAGGTTTGAATCCGGCTGTACCAGTAATTAAGGATATGACCTCAGTCCACTTTGCAACCATACTGAGCTTCAGCTTCCTCATCTGCAGGTCACTGTGAGGATTAGAGAGACACAATGTATATACAAGGTCCCTGGCACATCATAAACTGAAACCAAACCCGTTGCTGTTTGGTACTGCGCTCCATAGGGTTTTCTTAGCTGTAATCTTTACGAAAGCAGATAGCCAAGCCTTTCTTCTGTGTTGCTGCTGGGTGGGTTCAAACCACCAAGCTTTAAGTTAGTAGTTGAGCACAAACCATTTTGCACTACCCAGGCTCCGTAAGGGGTATCTAATTATCATTATTTGATTTTTAGCTGAGGCAGGCCTTGTGAAAACAAGAGAGGTAAGAGAAAGGAGGAGTTCCTTGAGTGATACAAATGGTTAATGCGCTCAGCTGCTAATCGAAAGCTTGGAGGTGTAAGTCTACTCAAAGGCGCCTCGGAAGAAAGGCCTGCCGCTCTACTTCTTAAAAATCAGCCACTGAAAACCCTGTGGAGCACAGTTGTACTCTGACACACATGCAGTCGCCATCAGCTGAAGTCAACTCGACCGCAATTGTTAAAAAAAAAGAGAGAGAGAAAGGGTGCCAGGAGAGGTCAGATTTTATAAATTTGATTTACATATTCTAAGTATACTCATACGGAAACCCTGGTGGCGTAGTGGTTAAGAGCAATGGCTGCTAACCAAAAGGTCAGCAGTGCAAACCCACCAGGTGCTCCTTGGAAACCCTATGGGGCAGTTCTACTCTGTCCTATAGTGTTGCTGAGTTGGAATTGACTCGACGGCAATGGGTTTTTTTTTTTTTAAGTACGCTCATATTTGCCAAGCCATGACAGCGGATTCTGAGGCTGGAAAATAAGGCCAAATCAAACTGTTTTTCCACATTGTTATCAAATAGCCCCGCCGACGGCTGTTACAGAGAAGGGTGTTCCTTGGGCCATGGGGACTCAGTTCACTACAGAGCACCGGAGACGGGACATCAGATAACCTGCAGCAGGCGTGGCCTGTTCCTGTTACATGGGACTTTCTGATGAGGAGCAGAGGTTTTTTTTGGCATTTTGGTTGAGCAGGGGTGGGGAGTTGGTGGTCAGGAAGAGACTTTAACTGGAACTCCTGTAGAGGATGATCTCTACTGAACTATCACATTTAAATCCTCAGACCATGTAGAGACTATCGTTCGGGTATTGACTCCTGAAGCCTGAACAGTGAAGACACCCGGGGGCAGGGCCAGGTTTACAAATAGGATATTTAGGTGAGTAGCAATTGAGGAGAGTGGGAGAAGTCCTTCCCCACCACCTGTCAGGAAGTCTGTAATCCCACCTTTGGAAGTGTGTTCTCTTAAGTCTTTAGCCCCCAATTAAAATGCAAACTTTATCAGTTAACCAGCAAAACAAAGTCTGTGAACACGATGTAAAGTGCCTCTGAGTTTTGCTGAAATACACCCCAAATGACTCGGAGAGTTAATATCCTGGATCCCTAGAAACTGAAGCCATTGTGTTCCTACTAAATCCAGGATTGTTTTCCCTCCAACAGACTCCGGGAAAACTTAGAATGAGGAGGTAGGTGTAGGAACACTGATACGGTGACATTTGGAGCCCTGACTTTAGTCAGAGGATCACTACTGATAAAAAAAATAAAAATAAAAATAAATCTTGGTGAAATGAAATCACGTCCTGGGAAAATTGTGTCAAAGCCTTTTGCTTTCAAGGAAGATAAATTAAGGCCCAGATAACACAAAGTCGGCCCAGGAAAACTGGAAGGAATTATTCCTACAGAGCTTTGCTATTTCAGAATACGTGAGTCACTGCGGGGGTGGAGAACAGGGGCTTGGCCTGATGGGCTCCTTACCACCTGAGTGGTCAGCAGCAATGGGCTGAGAACAAGGACCACACTGAGACCACCTGCAGCTGAGTGAAAAGTGAGGTGACGTCTGTGGAAACTGAAAGAAAAGGAGAAGTGGACAAGTCAAGAGACTCACGACAAGGTTTAATTTGGTAGTCACAGGGCTTTTCAAGGAAGAGGGTAGATATCGCTATGGATTGCATATTGATGTTATTGTGGTATGCCTTGTCTAGGCCTTCAGGCCAATGGGAGACCCTCACGTCGGTCAGGTGTCAAGTGACCCATGGCTTCCTGAGTGGCACAAATGGTTAAGAGCTCAACTACTAGCAAAGTTTGGCAGTTCAAACCCACTCGGAGGAGCCTGGGAAGACAGGCCTGACAATCTTCTTCTAAAAGGTCACAGTCTTAAAAACCCCATGGAGCAGTTCTAAGTTGCCGTAAGTTAGAATCAACTTGACAGCAATTAACAACGACAAGTGACCTGAATTCCACAAAAACACTGAGAAATGCCAACTAGGACAGGCTGAACACAGGCGAACACCCCCTCTCCCCCCGCCCAAAAAAAAAAACAAAACCAAAAAACAAACAAACCCATTGCCATCAAGTTGATTCCGACTCAGGGTGACCCCATGTGCTTCAGAGTAGAACTTGATCCACAGGGTTTTCTTGGCTGGAATCTTACGGAAGCAGTTGCCAGGCCTTTCTTCATGGTGCCACTGGGTGGGTTTGAATTGTCACTCTTTAGGTTAGCAACCTCTCGCAAACCACTTGAATCACCCAGGCTCCAAAAATGGTACTCTTAAGAACTGGTGAATCTGGGTGAAAGGTGTATGGGATTTCTTTGTACTATTCTTGCAACTCTTCTGTAAGTTTCAGATTATTTCAAAATAAAAAGTTCAATGGTTATTCTCTTAGAGCAGTAATTCTACTTCTGAATAATGAGTTCAATGCACTGTTCTTGTAAAATTCACATACAAGCTAGGGATATGTACAAGGCATTATTTTGACTATCTAAAAACTGAAAATGACTTATATGTCCAAAAAATAGGGGAATAGTATAATACATGTCAATGTAGTTCAGTATTATGTAGTCATTATGATGATTGACAATATAATTATATAGAAATATCAGAATCAATCATAAAATTATGTTACCCAAAAGAAGTAGAAAATAAACTTGTATATGAACTGTGATATAAGCCATGTAAACACCATATATATGGATGGATAAAAATTGGAAGAGAAAACCAAGGGTTGGAGTGCTGTCATTATTGTTGATTTTTTTTTTTCAGTTTCTTTCATGATGCTTTTAAATTGCTTTGGTAAAAATAGAGTTACTGACTTCACACTGGATCCAAGCTCATCAGGGACACCCAGCCCAGCAGTCTGTCTTGACACAGGTACTGGGAGGGTCTGGTTTTCCCTGACAGCGTGTCAGACGTCTTGGAATTTTCCTTAATAACGTATTGTGGAGTTATCCATGAATTTATTCAAACTCTTCTCAAACACATCTCACTTTCAATCAATCCCTTCTTGGAAGGAACTGAGTTTCTCAGGTTGGCCTCCCATTTCTCTAAAAGAGAACTTCCTTTTCTTGGTTTGAAAGCTAACTCTTTTGAACTTCAAGGAGTAACCTCTGGTTTCACTATTCTAAGGTTCAGTAAATAAGCACACGTCCACTCTGTCCACATTCCCTGGTGGGCTGCGAAGCCTAGTGGAGAGAGCCTGAGGCTGTAAATCAGGTCGTTTGCTTTTCTCCTCCAAAAGTAGTTGCATAACTATAGGCAAGTCAGTATTACCTTGTGCTAGCTTTAGCCTCCTTGTGTCTCAAAGGAAGGCAAAAACTCACAGGGTTATCATTTGGGTCAAATAGGATAAACGTGGGAAAGAAAGTGCTTTGAGACAAATGACATATTATTGGTGATTTTATAAATTGTGATCACATTTTTTGCAGCTTGGACACATCATCAGGAGAGATCACTCGCTAGAAAAGGACATCACGGTTA